GGACCCCGCCCCACCCACCCCATCTGCTTTTAGAGCAGAAGCACATTCATCTGTTGACATGGAAGGAGGCAGGAACGATTTCTTTTCTCCACTCCTCAGTGCCAGGGTCAGGGAGGCTCATAGACATTTAGCCTCCTTGACAATATTCCTACAGATCTGTGCATTCAACCAAATGGAAAACAGTAAGTGTGTATTTTACAAGCTTCCTCCCACTCCCAAGGCAGTTAGATGAGCCGTGTGTGATCCACAAAGGTCAAGGTCATCTCTGCAGAAAGAAAAATGTGCTACGGACCACAGTAGGTCAATAACATTTCTCTCCGCCTCTGTACCTCCTAGTCTAAAAGGGTTCACACTAAGGCTCTCAAGAAATTCGGAGTCCTTTGCAGCTTTCCCTGACAGCCGTCCTGATCTCATCTCGGGCTAAACCGCACCCAGAGATACATCACTGATTAACATTTCTCTTGTGCCCAACGTCTGCTCGGGCAGGACATAGGCCTGGAACTAATTAACTCCCAGAGCAAGATAAAAATTGATCACCACCCAGGAATCCTTTTAAAAGGATGCCTATTAGCCCAACTGGACACTGATAGCATTTCCGTGTGACAGGATGTAGTGAAAGTAGTGACCAAGTGGAATAAGTATGTTAGGACAGAGGTCACTATGCAGGTAACTCAGACCTGCTTGGCCATCTGTCCTGGAGCACAGCCTCCACAGTCTCATTCCTCTGTCCTTTCCTCACTTAGGGACCTAGAAATTCTCTTAAAATTTAAAATCGTACATAATAACTCAATAAGGGCAAGCTAGACAGCAATGGTAGGAAAAGGTAAATAGGCTAGGTGCAACTCTGTGTGGATCATTATAAATTAACTGAGGAGAAAAGGCAATTAAAACGACCCCTTTCTTATTCTGAGTGAGAGATAGAGGGGGCACAAAGTCAAACTTATACCACAGATTTCATTCCATTTGGCTGTAAGTTTTTAGATTTGTTAGGGGTCATCAGAATTAAAGTGATGGTGCAAATATTAAAGAAATTGGCTTTAAAACCACTTGTCTTCGATTACAGCATGATACGTGAGAATCTGAGATGTTTACTTACTCTCTATAATAAACCATAATTTAGTGTTCTTTATATTGCACAAAATGTGTATATAGCCCGGCCGGTGTGGCTCAGTGGCTGAGCATCGACCTATATGATCCAGGAGACGGAGGTTCGATTCCGGGTCAGGGCACATGCCGGGGTTTGGGGCTCCATCCCCAGCAGGGGGCGTGCAGGAGGGAGCCGATCACAGATTCTCTCATCATTGATGTTTCTCTCTCCCCCTCTCCCTTCCTCTCTCTGNAGAGGTTTGATTCCCGGTCAGGGCACATGCCGGGGTTTGGGGCTCCATCCCCAGCAGGGGGCGTGCAGGAGGGAGCCGATCACAGATTCTCTCATCATTGATGTTTCTCTCTCCCCCTCTCCCTTCCTCTCTCTGAAACCAATAAAAACGTATTTAAAACAAAACAACAAAAAAGCCCATGTGTATATATTTATACAAGAGCCAGTGTAATACTAAGGTGAGAGCTGGGTGAACTTGGATTTGAAAACTTCCTCCACCTCTAGGTTCTGTGATTGTCATGAGATGCCAGTCTCAATTTTCTCACCCATAAAACAGGGACATGAGCCTTCCTTACAGAGTTGTGGAGAGGAAGTGATTATACATATATAAAGTGCTTAGTATAGTATCAGCTGGTGGTACTCAAAAAAATATCCTCTACAACTCCCACTTTTACTATATAGAGAAAGGCTTTATATAATCTTAAGAGCTTATCAGCCAGACAGCAGCTACCCTCCAGTGTTAAATGTACTATCTTCAAACAGAGCCAAAGTAAACCACGGCCTTACGAGTAATCCAATGCTGAAGAGAAACAGATTCTGGCCGTAACAATCTCTCTACCTGAAGTGAATTCTCCCGGTTAGGTTAGATACATAGTCACCTTCAAGTCACATTAAGATAAGCACCTACAGAAACAAAGAGCGGCTCACAGTTCCCTCTGTTTATTTGCAAAACCCTAACACCTATGCTGTAAATGCTGAACGGCTCATTTAAAAAATCTAAAGCTCTTTTTTGAAGGCAGCTGTATCCCCGTGCGGTGCGGCACTGGGGCACAGTTTGGGATCAGGAATCTCCTCCTGCGCTGCAAAACGACTCTGGCCTACCCTACCTTCACATCAACAGTCTTCTTTACTCTTACCCTCCAAATTCTTTAAAGCAGAAGCAACAAACCGGTGGCCCGTGGACAACCGGTATTGTGTGGCCTAAAGACCTATTTGCTCTGGCTCGCTCAGAGTTTTATTTAGTTATTTTTATAGAATGAAAGAACTATGGCGAGAGTAGACAAGTTCTTAGGGACGATCAAAGATGAGAGGATGGGAATTTAAGGCATAAGAGATAAATGTCTTTCCTGAGATATGGACCCTAATATTTTACCCATGTATCACAATTACTTAATAATGAGCCTTGGTAAGAACACAGGCTACTTTTAAAAATAAGAATGTGATTGAAATAGAGATACTTGATCAAGGCGCAATGTAAAACACCATGAGAAAAACATAACACCTTTCAATAAGCTCAATCCTTTTACCTTGAAAGAGGAAATGACAAACCTGACTTTGAAAATGGATGTTAGATTTATTTTTAAAATATTTTACCTGATTTAAATAATTGAGGCACTTTTCAAGACACCAAAGGCAACAAATGCAAGATTTCAGCATGCATCGAGCACAGGCATTTTCCTGGAAAGGAGAAAAAGTTGAAATAATTAAAACAATAATAACAATAAAGAATTACACCATCATAAAGAATACTCCAATTGTTAGAAAAATAAAAATTTTAAAAATCACTACTTATGCTTCAAAGCCTCCACATACCTTTTTTCCTTAAAATGTAGTGAGTGATTTACTTTTAATCAATCCAACATTTATTCAGTACCTATTGCATATAAGATACAGTGAGGTACAGAAGACCAGTAAAGAACTTACGATCTAGGAGGGGGGTGGAAATGCTAAACATAAAAAAGGTTAGAATCAGAATATGACATAGATACTAGTGCTATGAGAGTAGAGAACAGACAGAGACATCATTTGGGAGATGGGAGCAATCATGGAAGGTTTCTCAGAAGAGATGGCATTTGAACTGAGCTATGCTGAAATGCATGTTATATCCAGTCAAGGATGGTAAGAGGTTCTAAGGAGGAAAGTGTGTGAGTTGACACAGAGGAAGAGAAGCACAGGACACTTGGGGAAACCGGTGATGATACGGATTTTGCTATAGTACAAGGTTGCGAGAGTGGGGGGGCGAGGGAGGAAGGACTGGGTTTCACTTGGCCAGGACTCTGAAGAAAATATTCGCAGCTTTGGACATGACATCATTGGGTACTTTACTACGTGCAGAAGTGAGGTCCAGTATGTGCCCATGGAAAGCAACAGAAAAATATTTTCCCCTTACCTTTCCTTTCAGCTGACTGTGAATGTACATAAGGATCATTCGTGGAATTTTCACTAATGTGATGATGAAAGATCCTTTGGCCACAGTGCCAAGGTGGTAACGGACAAGGCGATTCACCGATGCCAAAATAGGTGTAAATGGCAAATTCCTTTTATCCCTATTTTAAAAATGACCAAAAAGACAATTAAAACAAAGGCTAGCCCAGGAGCGAAACACAGGAATGGTTTAGAGTCCCATGCAATGAAAAATGGGTTCATTTTCCATATTCTAGCTTTATGACAAAAATGGCAAAGTAATGCAAAACTAACATAAATGCTACACATGGACCGTATAAAATTAATGTTTCATTTCCCTGCGGTAGTTCCATGGGACTCTTACGCGCTAATATTTTAAGTTAAATAAAACTGTGCTTGGAAAGCTCTGATTAGTAAATACTTACGGAGTTAATTGTACAGTCGGAACATGGAACTTCAAAAGGTGTTTGCTCTGAACCTGGCACCTCACTACAATGGGAAACGATAAGGCCTACAGCGACACTCAGCTCTGAAGTTAGGGAAGGGAGCCACACAGTTGTTCTGATCCGAACAAATTAAAAAGGCTTGTTTTCCTTTGATGGACTTTCATTTAAAGCAAAAGTGCGTAAGGCCCTACTACAAGATTTATTCTTCTGATAGACATAATTTACGTTCTCTCGGGGCCTGCCATTCTGATTAATTTTGGAGAAAAGTTTTAGAAAAGTATCAAGAAAAAAATCACCCCCTCTCGTTTTCCTACCTCCCAGAATGATCGACTATCACATTTTGTCATATTACCTTCCAATTACTTCTTAAGGAAATGACATTCTCACAAGCCGCAGCTCCTTTCCCTTCAGGCACAATCACTTGGATGATCTTAAGTTTTCAGACAAGTATAAATCCTCACCTAGTAAAATAGTACGTCACCACCGCTCCGGCCACAGTCATCTGCTGACACGCTAGAATGAACTCACTGATCCAGATCAGGCCCACCGCATGGTACCACCACATGTACTGCAGAGGCCCGGACACTCTGAACTCCACAAAGCCTTGGTCGTTCTTAACAGCGCTGCCTAGGGAAAGTCAAGGAAGGGACGAAGAATCACATAAAGTATAAACCAAACATAGGGCTATCAAATTTAAGAGATTGACTTTCCAACCACAAGTCCCTACCCCCAAACCACAAACTTATGATCACAGTGCTCCTTCATTAAAGGGCAAAAAATGATTATCACTTGAGAAGTTGTGAAGGGAAACATTATATAGTTAATAAGCAATTTGTTTACCCCCAAAGCCATGATATATAGCTTTTTAAATTCGTTCTATTTGAACATAGTTCTTACCACATTATCAATTATTTAGTTTAGGCATGGATTTTCAAGTATTTGAATTTTTTTCAGAGCTATTACTTGCCTAATAACTACAGACCTAAATTATTAGCAAAGTACAGAAATTCATATTCTATGAAAGTGGTGGGTGCGTGTTAAAAGGCCAGAGAAATTACACACACGTTTACTAACCTTACACTACTCCTCACAATTAATTCCACTTAGTCGGAACCTTTGATGTTAAGTATGGCTACACGCAAATCTGAGAGTCTATGAACTGAATCATCAATAGGAGCTCTAGCTAGGTTCAGTTCATTTCCAAACTAGAAAATCCCAAGGAAGCAATTTGATCTTTAGCTAGAACTGGGGTTTGAGGCAACTCCAAAGTGGCACTGCGTTAACTCGTTCATCTTAGAGTGGATCTAAATGTCTGAGGCAGTACAGGAGTTCACTTCAAAGCCATGACAATCTCAAAGCCAGGATGCAATTTTCAGGCCTTACCTGGCTGACACTCACGTTGCTAGGGTGATCTAAAATTCATGATTAGAAGGCAGGCGACTGAAGAGCCATAACCACTGCCAGTTCTAATGGGTGTTAGACGTCAGTCAATAAATGTCTGAAAAACTATATCTCTTTGATGTTTTAAATATTTTAATACGAATCAGATTTGTTGCTAAGAGAAAGAAGCAACATGTCTTCTTACCAGTAGTGCCAAGGAAAAGAAGTGTCATGATCCAGTACACCCAAAACAGGACAAGAGCAAAGAAAGTCCAGAAGGGTTGGAAGACTAGCAGCGGCAAGTGAATGAAGACCTTGCCAGCCACGTGGAACAAGGCGATAGTGAGAGCAACGCGTTTGCGCATGAACAGCATGATCAGGAACAAGATAACCTGTGTGCGGAGAATGGAGGGAAAGGTTTCAGTTACCGCTTTAAGCTGTGAAAATTGACACTGAACAATGGTGGACATTTTCACCATAACACCTCCATTCTAAAACGTGGAAGTTTCATTCTCCGAATCCCAGGAATCCTTTATCAGCCTGTATCTCTACTGCAGCACTTACCATTTTCAATGGTATATTGAAAATGTCCTTTAAAGCTAAATGAAAGGACTTCTCAATTTATTATTAAATCCTAGAATTCTTCTAATTTCTCCTTTCTCCACTCATTACAAATCAGAATGGGTTGTTTGCCAGACAAGATGAGACACTTACTTTATTTGAATAGGTCCACACTTGTCACTTTGAAAAATAGGGGAGAGGACCACATGCCATGTCCACAGGAGCACTGGAGGTATCTGAACCTCATCTCCCACCTGTGTCAAGAGCTCCTTAAGAACAGGGTCCATGCCAGATTCACCCTTCGTTCACCAGCCCCTACCCTCCCGCCCTGGCACCTGGTATAAAAATTGCTCTTAAAAGTTGATTAATAAATATTTGTACAGTAATAACAAACACATATGTTGGCAACATGGTTTTATGACTGCTTTATTTATTTATTTGTTTTGTTTTTAATGCGCAATAAAAAGCTTGGGATTATACCTAGAAGCAGAGGGAGATATCTTTTTTCTTTTTTTCAGAGAGGAGAAGCGGAGCCAAAGATATGAGTTTAGATTATTTAACCACATGTTAATTAGTAACTTTACTGTATAGTAGTTAGGCAGTAATGCTCACCTATATTTCTGAAATAATGTTGTTTAAAAAAAGTTTAAAAGGAAAATAGGAACTAATTAGTAAACAAGTAAATGAAATGACGAGGTGACTTATTTCTTAACATACTTTTTAACAGTAAAAAACTGTTTTTTAAAAAGCAATTACATTATCTTATGACAATAAAAAACATGTTCTACTAGTAAATGCTAATGTAAATAGTCTAAGTAAAATCTTCTCAAAAAGCAGGCTGTGTGGAGCAAAACGTTGCACCAACAGCACTCATCAATTGCAGAAGCCTTCTGTGGGACAGAGGTTTCGCCTAACGGGGGTCAAGGTTAGGCACTCGATAGCTAGAGGTGAGTTTCCGCTCCATTAACGATCTCCTGTAAATAAAAGCAGACACCTGGACCTATACTCACTGTGAACACTGTAGCGGAAATGGCATAGATGAGGAGGGCCCGGAGATTGTCTTCGGCTATCTGAAGCTGTTCAGGAATCACTGTTTCTTTGGGAGAGTTTCTTTGCTTTGCATACAGCCACCATAGTACACCAGTGCCACCTGGAGAAAAAAACAATTGTTTTTGCAATAATTAGCACACGAAAATGTGTGACAAACCCTCAATTCTCTGGACCCTGGACCCTTCCCATGCATCATCAAGGGACTAATGCAGCAGCAATCCACTTGGCTGGGAGGTGCGTGGTTATAACATTTTTGCCAGCATAAAGTGATCTCCAATTACTCCACTACCATCTTCCACATTGATACATGAAGTCTTTCGGTATATCAAATAAACTTCCTTCAACTGTATTTATTATTGACTTTGAAGCTGATAAAGATAGATACCCTCAAGAGGAACTGGTCACAAAGAGGGCCTCAGCATCAGTTTAAGCTGGGTGGCCTGTAGTGAGCAAGTGGGGGTCATAGAAATCAGCAATGACGCCGAGGAAGGCAAAGATCTTCTCTGCTGTACTCATCACAGTCACCCCGGCAGCAAGCACCGACAGTCATGCAGCTGATGAAATATTTGTACAATGAAAAAAGTGAAGATCAAAAGAGTAGTTCCCACTAGGTAAAAACAAAGACAGAAAAATCTTTGATAGCGGTGGGTGCTAGGGATGGAAATTTTTCTCTCTATTACTGGTTCAGAGATTCTGAGAACTAGATTGAAGACAGAGGCAAACCCTTCATTCAGTTCATTCAGCAAATATTCTGAGTGCCTAACCGCGTCTCCTGTCCTAGGTGTTGGGGATAGAGCAGTGAACAAAACCAAGTTCCCACCCTCACCCCTCATGAAGCTTACATAGCAATGGGAAAACAAAAATAGGGAAAAAAATGAAAACATAGCAAATAAAGTCTAAGAAGAAAGTCACCTGGGAAGAGGGATAGAAAGTGCTGGCACTGGAAAAGCGTTGCAATTTTATATAAGATGGGTAAGCAAGGCCTCACTGGTGAGATGAATTTGAGAAAGACAATAAAAAACAGGGCAGCGAAGTCTATGAAGCTAAGAAAAGAGTGTTTCAGGCAAGAGGTAAATTCTAAGATGCTGAGGTAGGACCATGCCTAGCAAAAGAGATAGGAGGAAGCCACTGTGGGTATGCAACGGGCAAGGGGGTTGAGGTAAGAGATGTGGGTAGCGGGCACCGAGGTAGACGGGGACCAACCAGGTCACACGGTAAGGCCTTGGAGGCCATGGCAAGGACATGGAAGATGCAGAGTAGAAGAGAGAGAGAGAGAGAGAGAGAGAGAGAGAGAGAGAGAGAGAGAGTGTGTGTGTGTGTGTGTGTGTGTGAGTGTGTGTGAGTGTGTGTGTGAGTGTGTGTGTGTGTGTGAGTGTGTGTGTGTGTGTGAGTGAGTGTGTGTGTGTGTGTGTGTGTACACAAGATAAATGCCCGGGAAATAAGAAACTGACTAAGATCTGTGCAAATCATCCTAACCTCTACCTCCACTCAAGTAGAGAGTAAATGGGGTCCAAGGCAAAGTCCGCACCCTTACCTACTGGCAGATAATGAACATGAATTTTCTTCTCCTGAAGATGAGTAAACAAACCCAGGCAACCATAAGTCCACGAAAAATATTTCAGAGCAAGGGAAATACTTCTATTTTAAAATCTTGAAGGTACAAGAAAATTATTCAAAAACCTGTTTAATAGCCTCAAAAAATGGAAGAAAACACATTCTCTATAAACAGGAACATAAAGTTATGAGAAAAAGGGTGAAGTTCAGAGGACACAGAATGAGACAACCACGACGACATCAAGAAGGATGTTACGGCGGCCACAGTAGATATCTTTATTAGACATTTACATTTGTGCCTAGAATTGTGCAATAGACGCAACCAAATCTAATTGCCACAATACTATTAAGTGGGCATTAGCTCCACTTTACAAATGATAAGATTGACATTTAGGAGAGGTAAGCAGCATGCCAAATGTCACATACCTAATAAGTAGCAAACCTGGGAATCAAATCTAGATTTATTATAGAAACTATCCATCTGCTATGAACTGAAGGTTTGGGTGCCCCCCCCAAATTCACATGTTGAAAGCTCACCCCCAGTGTGACGGTATGGAAGGTGGGGCCTCTGGGGAATGATTAGGTTGTAAGAGTGGAGCCCTTTAAAAAGAGACCCCGGAGAGCTCCTTCACTCCTTTGCCATGTGACGACATTGCAAGAAGGTGGCCAGAAACAGGAGGCAGGACCTTATCAGACAATGAAGTACTGGTGCCTTGATCTTGGACTCCCAGCCTCCCAAACTGTGGAAATTAAATGCTTGTGGTTTATCAGGCACGGAGTCAATGAGACTTTGGTATAGCAGCCCAAACTGACTACGAAACCATCTAAAAACACTATTAGACATGAAGGTCACAAACTGAAATGAAAAGAAAGATGGTTGAGAGTGGGAGAACTACAAAAAGATTAAACTGAAATAACAAAGTTAGGCAGTCAGGTACAGAACTGACAGTGGGGAAAGCTGAATCAGTATACGGGAGATAAAATAGAAGGATTCTTCTGGAATGTGAAGAAAATAACAAAAGGATTAAAATGATAATTTAGAAGATGACCACAGACGAATGGACAATGATCTTAAGAACAAAACCACTGGAACAGAAACAATACTCAAATAGAGAAATAAAGAAAAATTTTCAGAGTTGAAAAAGATACCCCCCCAAAGAGATCATAGGCAAACTTGGTTAATATTCAGAACTAGATAAAAATTATAAACTATTATGAGGATAAGTTAAAAAGTATATAAACATCTAGGTAAGGGAGACAGGTTATGCGCAAAGGAACAAAATCTGTATTGCTCTCCAAGTTCTCTGAAATAAAAGACAGACACAGGGAACATACGGTACCGCAAGAATTTTATATGCAACAAATTCAATACTCATATGTGAAGGCAAAGACAATCTTAGATAATCAAGAACTGAGAATATGTACAACCCTCAAATCTGTCATGCATAAGGTACTGGATTCCAGCTTCCAGCTAAAACGACGACGAGCTGGAAACAGGAAGTCAGGAATGAAGCTTTAGGAAAACAGGACCTAAAAGTAGGACAGGAAAACTTAAATATAATTATGAAACTTTTCAAGGCAAAGCTAAGCAAAATTCTTTAAAAAGATATATCAAATACTATTTTAACTTTAATAAGAATTTGAATACAAAAACTCATATTTTATAAGGGCTAAAAGTGGAAGTGGGCAGAAGGAAGTAGTGGGGGAAAGGCAGAAAAGTTTATGCTAAATTAAAAGGAGGTACGGAAAAACTCTACATATACCATCTCAACGCAACATTTAATAATTACAGAGTTCTAGATTAAAGAATATTTTCTGAAAATGTTTAAGTTACCAACTGCTGAAGTAAAAATAAAATATATAACATCCAAAGCAAGGGTGAAAATAACCAAAGAAAACAGGTCATACAGCAAAGACGGGGAAACAAAATAAGAAAGCATAAATTTAAGAACAGATGACATCAGTAAAACCAAACATACCAGTTACAATTATAAATGTAATGGGGGCAAATTCCCCTACTAAACTATATCACACACACACACAGAGGAAAAAGGTCTGGATTTCAAACGCTAACAGTGGTTAACTGAGAGAAGGGGGTAAAAATAATTACAAAATTTTAAAAGGCAAACAATCTTCTTTAAAGAGAAGATGTAGCATGTGAAAATAAAAGTTTTATTTTCTTTTTTATATTTCTATTTTCTACCATGAAGGTAGCTAGATACACATTTATAACCGGGAAGGGGAAATTATTTTTTTTAAAAAGGAGATGATAAATACAGAAAGCCCAGAAAGGTTCATTACAAACAGTAAAATAAAACAAAGAAACAAAATAGAATGTCGACAGACAGAAAAATGAGTAATAAAATTTTAAACACACACAAGCAATTATCCTGCCAGGGACACTCTTCAACCAGAAAGAAGTTCAACACCTTAGAACAGTTATTTCAGGCCTTTAAAAAGAGGCAGGTAAAAGGAAAGGATTACTTCACTTGCTGGGCCAGGAACAATGGAAGAATCAGTGAAAATTAAAGAGCTGGAAACAAAACGGAGCCTCAGCTGCTGTCTTTCCTACTGGGTTCTTCCCCCCAAATTAATACTGACCAAAAAAAAAAGTTAGCCCCTTAAGAGAATCTCCATGTGCTAATGATCTCACCATTTTATTTGATTTATTGGTCTCACAGCAACCTGATTCAATGTAATCTACTTACCAGTCTTTTTACAGTTTAAATTAATTCACAAGCAGAAATTTTTTTTTAAATAACCAAAGTAGTTCCAAATTGAGGGAGTGTCAGAAGCAATCTTTAATCTCAATTCTAATTACTGAAAACCAAAGAAATAAGCAGCTTACCAAGTGAACCCAGTATGACCAGAATTGTTACGATCCACACAAGTACTCTCGATATATACCTGATTATCACCATCAAAATCATGGATAGAACTGCAGGGGAGATAAAGAGAGAACATGTAGAATATTATTTGAAAACACCAGAAAATATAAAGAGAAATTCTTTCAACTACTATCTCCTAGGGAAATAATTTGTTGCTACTGACAACGTCATGACCCCAATTTAGGTAAAAAAGGAAACAGGTTGCTTTTGCACCTTGACTTTGGTACTTGTGCCACTTGAAGCCAAAGGCACCTAACTGTGGTTTTATACACACAGAAAAGGGTACATGCAAATGCACATGGTGACTCAAAAACAGCACGGAACTGTTGTGGATTCACCACAGAAAGGCATCAGAACTCACATGCAAACACACATGCCAACACACAAAGTGCAGAGAATGACATGTCATGTTGGTGACCAGGAAAATTATCACACATAGAGAGAGATCAGTTAAATTAGGTGCTACGCTTCCTTGAGTAATTGATGCATTTCAGGACCAATTTCTCTGATGGTTGGTCAATGAACTAGGTGGTATTTTATCTTTTTCTGGTTGTCTCTCTCCTAAAATTCCACGAGATGGTCTGACCCTGTGGGATAGTATCCTGAAGCCTACCGAAGCCAAAATTCATCTGGCCTCACTCCTCAACTGGGGGCAGGGTCCTGATTAGGAAGCTCTTCAAAACGGAGCAAAGCTTCGATGGAGTTATTTAGCCAACCTTTCTTGTACCCATCCCCAGCTAGATTCCAACAAGCTAAAATGTTGAGTAAAAAATCTCAAAAAAGAGTGGGAGGATTTATCCCTTTTACGGGGAAATTTGTTTTTGAAATCGTAATTTGTTCATCTTTAATTATCGAAAGGGCCACTTCACAAACAAATGGACAAAGATCTCAAGCCTTAAAAGAGAACCACTCCAAGAAAAAGCTGGAATTCCAATGGCTTAACATTATTATCACTATTTTTAAGATTTAGATTTATTTTTCTTGGTAAAAGTATTCAACTATTTCAGAAACCAAATAATTTTTACGTAAAACCAGGCTAATGGTCAAGCTTCTGGGGACCATTTGCAAAGCCAAATAAATGGTTAAGCTCTGTGACTGTAATATTATTAAGGCACTCGCTTTTGCAATAAATAAACAGGAACCAAAAACAGATGGGAGCATGTCAAATATAAAAAAAGCTTTTCATATGGACAGCATTATTTCCATTGAGTCAAGTACTCCCTAATCAAAAAGAAAATACTCTCTAATGACAAGCTGGAAATACAGCTAGTTTTCTCAATGACTATACTTGTTGTTAACAGGTACATATACTCATTTTATTTATATAATGAAATGGTTGTTTAGTTCCTACCAGTTTCCTTCTCCCAACTAAAAAGGTCCATAAATACTGACATGGCTACGATAATACAGGGAGTTTACATCTTGAAAATAAGTTTTATTTGATTATATTATTTAATTATTGACAAAAACTCAATGGCTCACAAGTGGAGATTTCCTAATTTTTCCAGCAATACAGTGATATTATGAACTGTTACAAGGGAAAAAAAATTAAATACTTCAAAAGTAATCAATCAGAAATCTATCGGTTTTTGATGGAAATATATATATATATATAAATATGTGGCGTCTTTTTTATAAGGAAATAAGCCAATGATCAGATTCATAACTAAAAACAAAGGGGTACTGATTTGTTAAAAGAAGCCTCTTGCTATAATGTTAAAGGTTATTATAGACTTAGTAACCAAAATTTGGAGAAAACACCAGTTTTCTCCAATGAAAGAAAAAGAAAAGAAATGAGTTTCAGATATATATATTTATAACTATATATAATCTGAAACAATTATTTTGGCTATGGGAAGTGAAACATTTTACAAGTATCCCCAGTTGTATTCATATTTTGGTTAAAAGACAAAACAGTCTTCTGCTGCAGTACTATATATATCTAATAATGAGAAAAACAATTACCTAGTGATAACAAGCAAAGTCCCAATATAATTTCTTTGCTGGTCATTACTCCACTAATCAGCCTGTGTAAGACACTATTGTCACTGACAAAGGTGATCAGGGCCTCTGCAAACTTGGCATAGCAGGAAATGTTCACAGGAGCACAGCGATGGAAGAATGGAATAGGTGCACTGGTGACACAAGAAAAAAAAAATCAGAAAAAAAATTACTCCTACTTAATATAAATGCCACATCAAACACACAAATGAAAGGTGAATGTGACTGCGACACACTCCACCCTCCGCACGTCATACGGGAGCTAAGAGCTGTGAGCTTAATGCTATGGAGATGACTTAATGCTATGGGCAGTGATGCAACTCTTACCACAAACCTTATCGAAGAGGGTGGAGTGCACGTTCCAACAGAAGACATTACCCTCCCCTCTGAAAAGAAACACACACACACACACACACACACTCACACACACATATACAGCTACCAAAAGCAAAACCAAATGCTTGAACTCCTCAGCCTGCACACCTATCAATCAAGGAGCAGATGACAAAACTTAGAAGCATCTACTTCACTGAACTGAAAAGGAATTTTTGCCATAAGCTATTTAAAAATAAAAATGCACATGTGCTTTTGCTTGAAAATGTGCCGCCATTAATAGAATGGTTTCCTCTATCAGAATGGCCTACAAAACCTTAGACTTAAAAAGGTGTTTGGGCACAAACTTAGTAATTCTCATATAAACTAAATCATGCTGAGATACTAGCATGACTTAATGCAGCATTATATGCAGCTATTTAAAACAATAACCGTGAATACTAATGTATTAAAATGTGTATGATGTAAGAGTACAAGGAGTAAAAAACCAAAAATTTATATCTAATGTGGTGACTGTATCTCTGTATAAAAGATATATACATAAGAATCAGAACAAAAAAATATAAACAAACGAAAAATCTCTCATTTGGTAGGGTCATGGGATTTGGGGCTATTTGCTTTCTTTTTATATGTTGTTACTATGAGATCATTAGTGTCCAAAAAAAGAGGTAATCTGTTACATCAGGCTTGTATGGACTACAGCTTTTACTTGTGAAGAAACATAGCTGTGTGTGAACCATGACATTAATCAGGTTTGTTATGAACATGGTTCTACTTTAGCTTCTGAGAGGACGGTATACACCTAATCAATTAGAGATTTTAAACAAAGCGCTACGAACGTGACCTCAGTCATGAGTTGTTTGGATTCTAAGACGGCCCCATATGTGTGAATACACACTTATGTGTGCATTAAGTTAAATTTCAGCCATTGCTAGCATAAACCCCACATCTTCAGAATTATTTGTAGGACTATTAGTCACGGACCCAACATAATATTTTGACTGGAATGATTTAAGTATATTTTTATTCTTGGCTGGTACTGTATTTTGGTCAAATCAGTAGATAAGATTATATGGTTGAGCATCCGATTCCAAGGCTTCTAATCTCAGCAAAGCAACTTTGTACGACCACAAGCAAAATACTATCCTAGTTTCCTTTCTCAAATGCTGGTCCATGAGCACCACTGGAAATAAGATAAGAAACACCTTCCATACTGGTAAACTTCATGGAACAATAAAATAACATAATTTTAAAGATCTAGCCTTACCTTAGTTACGCTTCAGTAAAATGTATTCCAAATGATATGATAATATGACATGAATATTTATTTGTAAAAATTTGCCTCTTGTGACCTGTGGGTGTATTTGTGTCCACCTCTAAAACAGTGTTGGTGAAATAGCTTTAGTGAACGTTGATGCCAAAGATTTGCTGTTTTGGCAGAAATCGCAGAATGCTGAAGCATTCTGGGTAACGCTTGAATTACAGGTATGCAAGCCATTGTTTTTTCACCAAAAGTTGTTCCACTAATGATATAAAAAGACATTAAATTACAGAATACTTGTAAGTGAAATGGGTTTAGTTAGAAATAGGACAAGAAAAAAAACAAAGTAGGATTAACTAAGTTCCTAAATCAATGGAGGCTGATTTAGGAAAGAAACCTTTAAACTGATAATTTTGTTGGGAACTACAACTGTGTGTGTGTGTTTTCCTGATGCTGTCTAGATACTGTTCCTACCAGGTTAATGTCCCTGTCTAAGGAAGTCTAACTATATTTTTAACTACGGCTTGGGTCTCTAGCCTTCAGAACTAAAGCCCTCTCTGGTCCATCATTATGTACATCTTTACTTGCTTTATTTATTAGCCTATCATCTCTGATGTAGCCTCTGTTTAATTCATTCGCCTCCAACTGTAAACATAAAATATATACACCTTATGGGTATTGTCTTTTTCCTATTTTTAATAGCCACCAACTTTCTTGGCCCTGCTTTCCTGTTTCCTTTTTCCTGTCAGATGACCATAGTGACCTTTACCTTCCATCCAGAGGGAGTCCACCTATAGCTCCCATATCTTAACAGGACGTTGATGTATTTTTATCCTCAAAGAAACACATGATTTCTAAACGAGAGTAAAGCCTGTGATAAAGGGAAGAAACCTGGACTTGGGTTCAAAAGCCCTGGGTGATTCTCCTCACATTATACAGGTGCACATCACTTCATCTCTGTCAGTTTTTCCATCTGTTAGGTGAAAGGGTAGGAATAAGGACTCTGTCTTTTCTGATATTATTATTAATAATAATAATATTATGCCCGCCCAGAAATCAATGATTCTAAATTAATAGGAGCAGCAAGCTCAGTACCTTTAGTATGTTTCTGCTTTTCAGACTTAGAATGAGAACAGATCCTTTGAGAAGGAAAGGGCTCCACTGTTAAAATTCGAATCCTTCATTTTTTTCAAAAGAGGAAAGAGACTGAGTAATATCTGCTCTGAACTTATCCTTTTGAGTCATTTTTTATAATGTAGATAAACACATAGCCAATTGGTGAGAGTACATTCACATGTATCCCTCAAAGAACTGAGGCAAAACAATAGTCCCTTGCCTTATAATTCAATCTATGTCAGTTTAAAAAAAAAAATCCTGACAGCTCTAAATTTGAAAGTTATAAAATTAGCACAAGCTGATTAACTACATTTTTTAGCTGACGGCCCAAATGGTCAAAATCTGCTCTTACTGGTACAGAATAACGAAACAGAAGGCAAAGGAGAAGACAATACTTGGACCCAGTAGTAAGAAATAAAATTAAACACTTCGCTTTAAAGTAAAAAGCACTAGATCCCCTCATATGTTGTTCTTTTTCTCAGTTCCTTCCCCCAAAACAATTCAACCATCTGTGAGTTAACGCTTGAATTATTTTCTTATTAAAAATCTATGTAATCATGGCATTGATATGGTTTGTCTTATATTTTACCATTTAAATCCCATGTGATATAATGAATGTAAGATGAGATGAGTCAGCTGATTTCATATACCTCTCAAAAAATAGAAATTCTGAGAATCTAGTATATGGGATCATTTCTGCTTTACTGACTAACTCTACATGACACATTCTGCGCTTCTTAATTAAGAGGACAAGCATTTGAAATTCTACTTATAGTAAGTTTTACTACTTTTTACACTTGGTCTTAGCCAAAAGGCCGAGAAGCGATAAGTTTTACTACTTTTTGAGGCCCACAGAATATTGAATCTTTAAGAAGTCTATGTTTCATTAGGAACTGATGCTGTTTTACATTATTGAAACAGTCAATAAGAAGAAAATGAATTTATAATGAGTCTTTTAAAGATTTTTTTAAAGATTAGCCACTCATAGGAAAATTGCATCTTACCTAAGCAAACATACTGTCCATTTGTCTTTAAGCCCAGACCATCCTAATTAATGAGCTCCCTCAAAGAATTGTGACGTGCAATGCCTAATATCTCTCGTCCATATGCCTTCATAAAAGAAGACAGGTGTTGGCATCTCACACAATTATTTTTAAACTTCAGGTTACAAAACAAAAAGCAAAAACAATAACTCATAGAGGCAGACAACAGATTAGTGGTTCCCAGAAGGAGGGAGTGGAGGGAGGGTGAAATGAGTAAAGGGGTCTATTATGTGGTGACAGATGGAAACTAGACTTTTGGTGGTGAGCATGATATATTGCATGATATACTATATACACAGATGTCGAATCATAATGTTGCACACCTGAAACTTATATTATGTTATAAGCCAATGTTACCTCAATTTAAAAAAACATCTCAGGTTATAAATAGACAATTATACCTGATATCTAATGAAAGGTCTTATTTAAGAAAGAAAAACAATAGAGGGATCTAGCACTATCTCCATAGCACAGAAAAGCTAGGGGAAAAAGTAAGTCGAGAATCTAATGGCAGTCTGCAATGGTTTTCATACATTTCATTTTACTGTTTCTCTTCTTTCATTCCTTTACTCGCTCTTAAAATAAAGATAAATAAATTAGCTGTAGTATAGACTTTACGAGATACTAGATTCAAGTTCTCATTCCCATCAATTAGCTGTGTGCCCCTGAATAGCTCATTTCATCTCTCCTATCTTCTATTTCCTCATCTATAAATTGGGACAATATCCATATAGGCTTTGGTGAGGGTTAAATGAGATAATACATATGAGAAGCTTAATATGGTAGCTGGCACACAGGAGATGATTTATAATGTTAATTTATCCTGAGTCCTTCATTTTGAAAATATAAATAGATAACACTTTTTCCTTGGCTGTTAGTTTCTCATTTCCATATCATGTTATTAATTCCCCAACACCCAGCATCCTTTCTGGCATCCAGAGGTACCCAAATCAATTTTTGATGAATAAATTGAACTTACATAATCTGTTTCTAGTATTGTGATTTTCTCTAGCTATACCTACACCATTAAGCATTGTAGACAGACTAGCTAGTCTCCCTATTGCTATCATGCTTAGCATGCCACCAATGGGGAGTTATGAACATGGGTAAAATATGGCTCTTTCTAGGCATTTGTTATTTGTTTTTGTTCAAGTATGTCTTTATTGATTTCAGAGAGAGAAAAGGAGAGGGAGAGAGAGAGACAGAAACATCAATGATGAGAGTCATTGATGGGCTGCCTCCTGCACGCCCCCTGCTGGGGATCGAGCCCGCAACCCCATCATGTGCCCTGACTGGGAATCAAACCTTGATCTCCTGGATCCTAGGTTGATGCTCAATCCCTGAGCCATGCTGGCCGGGCTCTAGGCATTTATTTTAAAAGTCAAAAGCTCTTGGGAATAGTAACCATTTGGCAATTACGTAGCACTAGCGTTTTAACGAAAATTAGTTTATAATTGCTTTTCTCTGAAACAGGCACTGCCTTCAGCTGCAGAAGGTACCTGGGTGCCTAGGAAGGTTGGGGGTAAGGGGGCGGCTCTAGAGGTTGAGAGAAATAATACTACGAAGTCAAAAGCCAAGCACAACAATGGATGCGCAACACATATTATCTTATTTAATTCTTGTAATTCCACGACAGAGGTATTAAATTCCCACTTTATATATGAGGAAACTTGGTTTACAGAGAGATTAAGAGACTTGCTCAAGCTAACAAATAGAAAGTTGTGACACAGGATTCACTTCCAGGCCTATCTGGGCTCAAAATGCAGCTCTCTGCCCCACTAGGTGCTCCTAGGACAGGAAAAGACACAGGAAAGATGCCAAGGGCCATTTGCCCCCATCACAAATTTGCTTAGTGCTGGTCTTTTGGACATATTTTTTTAAAAAAGTCATATATAAAAACAGTCCCTAATTTTTTTAAGGACATAGTTTCTTTGGAACAAAGACTAGGTCTTAGTCATCGTTTTAGATTTGGTATCTAATACTAGTGTGGAGCCCGGTAGTGTCCCAAGTGTTTTATTAAAAGAAATTTATTCTGTTTTCTGATACTTTCACTTTGCTTGCCAAATGCTAAATGATGATATTTACACGGTCCTAATTTACCTTCCTCCTATCAACTATTTCTTCTCCTTTATTTTTCAACAGACTGTGAGCTCAGACAAAAGTGATCAGACATTAGATCGTAAGGATCTTCAAATAAAGGATAAACACAGCGTATAGTCAGTTTTCAGATGGTATAGGTTCGTCATTGCATCTTGGATTACTGACACACTAGTGGGTGGCCCTATTAGAAGCCAAGTCTGTCCATCTGTAAAATCCAAGCCCCTAATACTACGCTTTGTCTTCCGGCGAATGTCCTTAGGATGCTGTATGTGCGATGTGCATGTCTACAGCCAAGACTAAACACCCCAAAAACCAGAAACAGGCAGCCCTCCACATGGTGGAATCAGAGATCAGAGGAGGAGAATGCTTGCGGTGTGAGCTGCAGGGCGACCTCATGCTCATACCAAGGCTTTCTGGTTATGCTTTTATAATACATTTATGCCTTAAAAAAGTGACACTGTACTCAAAGTATTCATTTAAAACAGGCTTTAGAGGTTCAGTAGGACATAGCTTTCCTTGTTTTTGCACTGATACATTTTCTCCAGCGACTCTATTCAAAGGACCTCCTTTTCTTTACTGTCACAGCCTCCCTAATATTATCAATTTTCACAAATGGCGTCTCCTTCCCTATAAGTCTAAGCCCATAATTTGTAGATCCCTTTTATTGAGTATCTTTTAAAATACCCCCTTTATTTTTACGTCCAAAGGCTTTCCATTTTAACATCAGCAGCAACCTGACAAGACTAAAAGCTGAAATAAGTTTAACTGGCATAGCCTTTGTCTACTTTTCAACAGAAAATTTCAAATTCAAGTTAATAAAGCACAAATTACACCCATAAGCGATCCAAAGGAAAATGGACACAAGTCTCAAAATTTTAACCAACAGCTTGCTGTAATATACTGAGATATAATAAAAGTGGTTCAATTTAGTATTCCTGGGGAAGCTGACCTCATGTCATACACGGTTAGTGATACATGCTAAGGTTCTTAAGATCAGACATGTTCCAAATCCTATGCACCTAACTTCTGAGGATATATTCTATAGCGCTTAAAAATTTATTTCCTTTCTTAAAAATCTATTTATAATTTTAAAATTTGCTTTACTTATAACAACCGTGAGATTTTCTTCATTCTTGTACCCATTACCACAGCAGGTACTTAATAATAAATGTTTGTTGAATAAGACCTTGGATAAGATATGCAAACTTAGTCTATTACAGAGAATGTACCTGAAGGAGATAGCCTGAAATAAACTATGGAGAATGATCACTGGCATCCTTTTTAAAATTTGCAAAGTGAATTGAAAAAGAATTCTTCTTAGTATTACTAGGATCAATTTTAAAGAATCTTGGAAGACTGAGACTTGGCTTCTAAGTTTACTGCAGATTTTATAATGATTTGGCAGTTTTTTATACTTAAAAATTACAGCATGAAAAAAAAAGTGAGGCCCCTCAAAGAAATGTAAAATACCTGATAATGAGAAAAGTTGTTTGCCTGTGTTTTTTTTTTTAAATATAAGTTACATGTTATCATTTCTACTACTGCTTTTAAAATTTTGATGTGAAAGTATTGGACCTAGGCAACTGGTATCATCAAGTGACCCTTTTCTCAAAATAACACATGCAGTTTAAAATCTACCTACAGAAACGAAAGTCACAAGTTAAGAAAATACAGTAAAATTTACCTCTCTGGAACTGGTAGTTTGGGGCAACGAGAAGCAGCTTTTGCAGATGTATAATCAGAAGGCTTTAGGCTGTAGTGACACAGCGCTGAGCCTGTTGAAAGAAAAGTTACACGTTAGCTAGCAAACAGAGTCTGAATGCATGCTCTCATTAAGGCACTTTAATTTTATTTTGTATGTGAATATTAACTCCACATATGCAACTTTCGAACATTATAGAACATTAGAGAATTAATGAGAATCTGATCTGGTCTATGGTATCAGTCCTCCGTCATTTAAAACGTTTCTTCTGCAGTAACTTACATACAAAGTTAATTAATAATATTAAGGGTAATAACAAGTACTAGGACTACCTTTATTGAGTGATTGCTGTCTGCCATATGTCAGGCCATATATATATATATATATATTTAAATAATCAACTTTAATTCTAACTGACCAAACCGCATCCAGGAGTGTCTCTAAACAACCGAACCAAAGAAACACGATAAAATTCAGCTGAAGAAACCAAGAGTTTTTGCCAGCCCTGGTGCTTCTGAGGATCAGGCCAAGCAGCCCGTTCCCGAGACTGGTTCTGTCCCCTGCCCACGTTTCTCATCCCAAGAGGAGGGGAACCTATCTCTGTCCTCCCGTTATGCTGGGAACTCTCAGGAAGTTACTGGTGGGGTAAGCCTCTCACCCCATAAATATTAATTATATCATTTACTAGGATTCTATAAGGCAGGTATGTGTTATTGAACCCACTTTACAGAGAAGGAAATAGGGGCTAAGAGATAAGGTAAATAACTTGCCCAAAATGACATGGCTACTGAAAGGTAGAGGTGGGATAAACCTCTAGGTCTCTTTGACCATAAAACCCATCCCCAACTATATACGCTGCCTCTTTTCTACGCTTTCCATTACTATTTAAAATTATCGCATAGAGCACATGTGCATTCAAATAAAACACAACTTTTTTCTTCTTTTAAAGGCAAAGAAATGCTAACTAAATAAACTGAACAAATTGATAAAACTGATAAAAGGATCCTCAATTTTCAGATAGTTTGAAACAGCTAAAATTCAATCCTAGGTTGGTTATGCAACCATCTATTTCTCTGACTATATAGCTACACATATATCTTAACAATATATAAAATTCAGAGGAATACAGTCCACCAAATCATTGATAAATATTTTAATGACCCATTAATTTTGTAACATAGCAACTAAAATATTGCATGGTTCACTGTACAACAGATATCGTTAACTGAGGAGATCTAAACTATAGTCTAATTTTTCTGAGGACCTACAGCCTTATATCATGTAAACTGTTCATATTTTATTGATGTTCCTACCAGATTACTAATGTGATCAAACACTTTATTATTAAATACAGATAGGATAGCTTTCCACTTGTATTACAGAAATAATGGACTTTTATAATGTACCACCACAGGAAAAATGTAAAATATAATGTGAAGTGAAAATGGAAGATTTTAACACTGAAACAATTATAGAAACGTCATGTGAGGATGTGAGAACTAGAAGGAAATACAGAAAAAAGATTTGCTGGGACAACACAATTGGGAGTGATTTTATTTCATTTGCATCTTGTCCTATCCATCAAAGAAATTTTTAGAAAGCCAGAAAACCTGCATTTACTTCAGTTATACTGCCCCCAAACCAGCAACCAATCTGTCAAATGTTTAAATGTGTGGGTTGCAATAGCATGCTTACATAAATACATGTAGCATCTATTTTATATAAAGATAATTTCTGTAATTTAACAATGCAAAATATTTTTAAAGAGATACTTGAAAGCTACATGGCACGTTTCTTCCATCTTCTTAAGATGGTCTCAACAGGAAACTAAGTTTTTGAAATTGTTTTTAAGCACTCTTTTCCATCGTAATGACTGTTTTAGTTAGCAGAATATTAAAAACCTAACTCTTCTGAAATTAGTCTTCTCTGTGTGAAGATAATGCCACTAGATTCCACTTGCAGCAACGGCAAGCAAACATTTTTAGATTACTCCCTGGAATAGCCGGGAGTCCTATTATGGAAATGCATGGGGAAAAAAACAGCAACTGTGCCAATGACTGCAGAGCCCCAATGTGATCAACTTCTTGATCTGAATTGTCAACTTATTCCTCTCAGTGTCGAAGATGGCATCGATTTGCACAATATAAAAGGCCCTAACTAAAGCACTTTGTGTGGGAGCCGTCAAACACACTGCTCCATCTGAATTCCGTGAACACAATCTCCACCCCCACCCTCTCCATTTAAAAAAGAGGTCAGCAGGTGCAACAGAGTTCAATTTTATAAATACTTTCCTAGGATAATGCTCTATGAAAGGAGAATAGCCTTATCGCTGACAGTATTCTGGGACACAGGCCAGTACTAAATAGATCCTGTACTAAATAGATTAAAGGAAAAAGAGCTTTACAATGTGTTAGTCATAACAATCCTAAGAGACTTTATACTGCTTCCTGCTCGAAGGGCTGATGGACAGAGAAGCCTCGGTGAAGAGCATTAAGACAACCCAGGAATGGCAAACATTTTACAGTGGCTGTTTCCTGATTAGCTAATGCATTTTCAGTGAACGTTTTTAAGGGAGTAACCATCCTATTTTTTTTAAAGAATGAAAGTATAAACAATATTAGCATAAGAGGTTTGGTCATAAGCAGTAAGACAAAGTGTTTTTTCCTAATGCAAAGAGCAGGGGAAAAACATACTTGAGTAATGAAAAGTCTAAAACAAAATACAAAAAGCTTACCTAAGCCATACTAGAGGCAATCCTTGCAACTCAGCCAATGTTATTCAAATGCCATCAAAATGAATGATCTTAGGAATCTAACGCTGGTATATAAACATTTATCTCAGTAAACGGTTTCTATAGCCCCCAGAATGCTTAACTACTACAATTTTTCAAACGCCTTATAATATTCAATTATTTATTCTTTAACTCAATATCACTTATAACTCCCCTAAGAGGTTATGTTTCCATCACCACACTAAACATTACAGATAAAAAAATAATACTTCCAAGGCCTTATGAGCAAACACTGGCATATTTAGAAATAGAATTCTTTACTTCTAGGCCACAATGCTTCTTCTGTGTCATTCCTAATAATCAAATTATCAGCCAAGTAATCAATAAGCTCCTGGGCAAAAGATGTACGTTTCATAGATATCTCCAAAACAACTTCTTTAAAAAAACAAAACCCAGAACATTTCTATCACCCACTCTCCAAATCTGCTCTGGCTCCTCCCACATATTTTCAATCCTGGTTAAGGGCTCCATCATCCATGAAATCCCCACAATGCAATATGGAGGTCTTCCTTTCTCTTCTTCATCTATCTTCCCATGCCATTCAAGATATGCAAGATACCACGTCCTGACAATCAGACCTTTCTGTGTTATCTCAGACCTTCATAACCTCTTACTGAGTCAGATAAACTACTCTCCCAAAGGGTTTCTCATCTCCCTCCTGCATGCACAACCTTTAGAAAAGTCTCTGTGAAACGGGCATTAGTTGTATCACACCCGTTCTGAGGATAAACTCCAAGCTCCTTGGCTTCATGGCCCTCCGCCCTCCTAAATAAATCAAGCCTCTAGTTAAAACTCCAGCCTCATCTTAACATAATTAACTTCTTTCAATTGTTGCTGTTCAACAAGCTTCTAGGCTTTTTCACATGCTGTTCCCTCTGCTTGAGCTGGTATCTGAGTGAGTGTTCAAGTTTGACAACAATTTCTACGAACTACTCAAGCTTTACCTCCTCTATAAAGCTCCTCTGACAAACCCAAACAAAGCTATATACTGCTCAGCTCTATGAAAAACTTAGCATATTATTTTGTAACTTTCTGATTTACATATCATCTCTAATTTTAGAATGTGAGCTCTTTGAGAACTGGGGCCTTAAGCCTTCAGAATATCTGGAACCCATATCTTATGGCACATAAGACAGGACTCAAAAGCCATCTGTTGAATAAAACAGACATCCTGATTTATAAAAAGAAAGAATACCTGTTTTTAATCTTTTTTATTTTGGTATTACGTACAATGTTCATCCGCTTTTCACTGTTCACTACAAAATAATACTTTCTAAGACAAGATTTCTCAACTTCGGCAATTCTTTATTATAGGGGGATGTACTGTGCATTGAAGGAACGTTAGCAGCATCCCTAGTCTCTACCCACTCGATGCCAGTAGCCACCCCCTAATTCCTTACCCAGTTGTGACAACCAAAAATGTCTCCTAACACTGCCAAATGTCAAATGTCCTGGGGTGGGTAGGGCAAATCACCCTTAGTTGCGAACCACTGGTCTAAAACACCAAATTATCTGAAACAATGATAAAGCTGGTTAAGTTAGATGCTAATTCTTCTTGCTTTAAAATTTTGCTTGATTTCCTATCACAGTAATATTTGTAGGATATACCAAAATTAAGAGCCAAAGATTCCTTCAAATACATGATTTAGAAAATTCCAGTTAATACATAATAAAAACCTCTCCATGCAGAACAGTTTTCATCATGAAAAACAAATTGCATTGCCATGTAAAGACCAATGAATTTAACTTTCTTCTCTAAGAAAGTGTTATATATTTATACGCTGAAAGAATTCAAGACAATTTCCAATTTCAATTTCTAGTAACCAGTGAAAAGTATGGACATCTTTGCAATTCCCAAGAAGCACCCATTAACTAGTTTGTGGTGGGACATCCTGTCAACCACTAAATGGCACATACTAGGGACACAATAAATATTTGCTGAGAGAGTTAATTTTGGATATCTACGTGTAAGACCAACTAGGTATCGTGGAGGGACAAAGAAAAGTTTGTCTACTATAATGCAGGCTCCTTAAACACGAGGACTGCACCTTGTCTTTGTCTCTTTGGCATATACTTAATAAGTGCTACATGATTATTTGTAGAATGAGCAATTAGTTTAAATTGCATTATCAAATGCAAGAATTTTTTCTCTCTTTTTAAGAACTGAATCTTCTAGGGTGACCTTGGTTAATAAAATTATACAGGTTTCACATGTACAATTCTCTAATACATCATCTGTATATTGTATTGCGTGTTCACCACGTCAAGTCTCTTCCCATCAC